AATCCGTCATCCATTTATCCGATATGCTATATCCGGATATCCGTTTTTTTAATTCGGATATCCGAACGGATTATCCGGATCATGCGACTAGAATCATGTGATTTAGTACCATTCGATTCGTCTCATCGAGACGAGTCGAATGGTACCAAAATTATGTGATTCTGATCGATAATTCGTGAGATACTGCACCCGAACTTCGGGTAATCCAAAATTCGGAGTTGAATGTATTAGCGTTAGAGCTGGGCTGGCATTAAGTAATATTAACAAACCAAATTAGCAAAAATTATCAACTAAACATGGACTATGTATTTAGTAAAATTTTGGGTTTGTTACACTAAAGTACAAGCGGTTAGATAAAATAAATTAATCAAAAATGTAAAACTTTTATATAAATGACCTCCGCTACGTTCTGGACAATTAAAGTCAATATTTTATTTAGCGCATGATTTTTTTCCTTTAAATAAAATGGATTCTGAACAACTTCGCGATCTTGGTTATGGTTATCAATATATCATGAAAGACGAAAAGAAGGCTTTTGAGTATTATATGAAAGCAGCTGAGTTAGAAGATTCGGCGGCGATGGATGGTGTTGGTGTTTGTTATCATCATCGAATTGGAGTAGAAATAGATTATCAAAACTAATTTGAATATTGTAAGATATCTGCTGATTGGGCAATGCTGCTGCAATATGTAATGTTAGAAATATTTTGAAAAAAATAAATCACCAGATATTAATCCTGAACTTAAGATTATGAGATATTTAAATTACTGTCGGCCCTCCCCAAACCGATCCTGTCAAAACCGATAACCTGCCATAATCGGTTAAAAATCGATCCACCAGGCCTGTTCCTTAATCCATACCCGATAACCTGCCATTTCTGATATCCGATAGTCCAAATACATAAGTTCCCGATTCATCATGTGTGGCCACATGATTAACAACCAATCAGAATCATGAATGTAATGAGCCATAAAAAGATTGATTTTTATAAAATTCGTCAAATTTCCTCAAAATTTGACGGATGTTTTCTCTAATTCAAATCAGCTCAAATTTTTATTATAGATAATATATTTATTCGTTTATAATATACAAAAATTTCAGCTAATTTGGATTGATAGTTCTTGAAAAACCGCTTGTAAACGCTAACAATTTTTTTAAAAAATTAACCATCGTATACAAGTGATTTCTCAAGAACCATCAATCCAAATTAGCTGAATTTTTTTAGTATGTTATAAATGAATATATACATTATCTACAGTGAAACTTTGTGCTAATTTGAATGAGTAGTTATCGAGAAAACGTCTGTCAAAGTTTGAGAAAATTTGACAAATTTTATAAAAACTATTAGTACTGGTTCTGTAATTTGATTGGTAGATTATCAATCAGCTTGTCATGTGATTTTTCAAATCCGATAACCTCCCAAAGCCAATACAAAACCTGTCCACCATGCATACTGGTTTGGGGAGGGCCGACAGTATATTGAATTGATTATAATGATTCGCAACTGTATATTCTGCATGTTGGTTTGACATTATTAATAGTAAATGGAGAGATATTGTACTTAGAGTTATCCATGATTCAAAAAAATTGAGCATGAAACTATCCAAGAATTGTGAATTGGTTACAAAATCCCTCATTCTTGAATTGTTTGGGCGTGTCAAGAAATAATTATTGTGATTATATTATTGTTATAGGTATTATGCCAATGGTTCGTTACGACAAATCTTGTAAAAGTATCACAATTTGAATAGAAAGATAAATCAAACAATTATACTATGTATATAACCTTGGATCTTGAGTTGATTCCGTTCACAGAGATTTATACACGGAAACATTTTGCAAAAAAAAATTCATAATGCATATATCACTGATTAGGAGGATGATAATGAATATCAAAAATTAATTTTTGGAAGCTAATAAGACTAAACCAGAACAGATTAGACAAATACATTCATAAGACAGTATACCAACAAACTATATGATTTCCAGATATATATAAAGTTTCATTGGCAATAAAGGCTTTATACTTTTTTCCTTTCATCTGACTTATCAATTATAGCATTAGCAATTTTTATGGTATGGAAGTTAGATAACCAAATTTATATAAATGCAGGGCAAAAATGAAGTACAAAGGATAAAGGTAAAGTGTTTATCAATTACAATAAACCTGCGGAGATGAGTCTGAAAGTTGCTATCAATGTTAGATCAAAATTCTATTCACCAAATCAATTATTAAGTCAACCGTTAGATCAACTGTTAAGTCAACTGTTAGAACATATAACATTTACATCAACCGTTAGATCAACCGTTAAATTAACCATTAGATCAACTGTTAGATCAAAAGTTATATAACATAGCATTTATTATATCAATCATTAGATCAACTGTTATATCAACCATTAGATCAACTGTTATACTAACAGTTATATCATATCACCTATTAAATCAACTGTTATCAGCCGTTAGATCAACTGTTAGATCAACCGTTAGATTACGACCGTTAGATCTTAGCCATTATATTATAATACCCATTACATCAACCGTTAGATTAATCGTTAGATCAATATGCACTCCTTGCTTACTCCTTGTATTAATCTGAATAAATTCTCTGTTAATCCATTTTATCCGATTATCTACTTGATGTCTGGATATTCATAGATAAATGGATAAATAGATAATGGATTGGAACTCTACCAAGAAGCTATCAATTAACTACTTTTGGAGAATCTTTAACTACCAACAACCTTTTAATGATGTATGAAACTATTTTTAATAGAATATTAGAAACTTATATAAATAACTTTAATATGGGCTAGGAGCTGGAAAAAAGAACGAAAATGACAATTTTTTCAAACTAAATTTTTTTACATAAATTAATTTAGAATAAGATTAGAATCTTTTTTCACTTAAGACACAAAAGTAGTCGTGTTAATAAAATTTTGCAGTATAGCTCTTTAAATTTTGTATTTTTTTATAATCTATTATAAGATTTATAACACAAAAATTGATTTTCTGAAGATCTTTTGTTTTGTTGATTTCATTCCTTTTTTCAGCACCTAGCCCATATATTCAGAAATTATTAAACAAATGCACATTGGCTGCAATATTTTATCATTGAATATTGTAATATTAAAATCTAGTGATCTACCTAATTGTAATAATAATGTCTATGCAGTATATGAAATATACTATATTGCTCTGTAGTATTGACGATTGTTTATATATTGCATGTGATTAAGCTATTTTTGAAAGATTAATTTTCTACAAGGAAACACATAATTATATCTAACTGCTTTTGGGACAATAGCATATGTTTAAAAACATGTGCTACATTTTAATTACAATTACTAGTCAAAATTTTTTATGTGAAAGGATAATATGAAAGCAATATATAAAAAAACAAACATCTTAAAATCAGCTATAAGATATAAAACTGGTCAATAAAATTGTACAAATATTACACTATTTTTATAATTTACTGTATACTAGCACCACACATGGCACAATGTGCTACATTTTATATTTTAATAATTTTTTTTTTTGGTATTAAAGTGATCTTCATTGGCCTGGGAAACTTTTTATTAGAGTATAGATGAAGTTTTATAGTGTAATTACAACAATAGTATATTAAGCTACACGTGTCTAATTTAAATAGTCTGCCCAAAGCAGTAGTGCTATGCTAAGAGTTCTACACTATCTGCTATATCTGCACACCAACTACGGGAGTACCTATTTAAACTATCTAGTTCTAACTACCTTCATCGGCCCTCTAACCTGAAAGGTTTTCTCACTAAACTAAGTAGATATTGGCATCACCCCACATTGGCTTTCACACCCTGCCTTAAAACTTACTAACCCATATAGACCTAGTCTATTCTCGAGGTAAACCTAACATAGCAGTACATGTCTCACATATGTATTCACATACTTGTTCCTATAACTTCTTCCTAATTAGTATACTGTTAGCCCTCCCCAAACTGGTATGCATGGTGGACAGATTTTGTATTGACTTTGGGAGGTTATCGGATTTAAAAAATCACATGACAAGCTGATTGATAATCTACCAATCAAATTACAGAACCAGTACTAATAGTTTTTATAAAATTTGTCAAATTTTCTCAAACTTTGACAGATGTTTTCTCGATAACTACTCATTCAAATTAGCTCAAAGTTTCACTGTAGATAATGTATATATTCATTTATAACATACTAAAAATTCAGCTAATTTGGATTGATGGTTCTTGAGAAATCACTTATATATGATAGTTAATTTTTTTAAAATTTGTTAGTGTTTACAAGCAGTTTTTCAAGAACTATCAATCCAAATTAGCTAAAATTTTTGTATATTATAAATGAATAAATATATTATCTATAATAAAAATTTAAGCTGATTTGAATTAGAGAAAACATCTGTCAAATTTTGAGAAAATTTGATGAATTTTATAAAAATCGATCTTTTATAGCTCATTAAATTCATGATTCTGATTGGTTGTTAATCATGTGGCCATACATGATGAATCAGGAACTTATATATTTGGACTATCGGATATCAAAAATGGCAGATTATTAGGTATGGATTAAGGAACAGGCCTGGTGGATCAATTTTTAACCGATTATGGCAGGTTATCGGTTTTGACAGTATCGGTTTGGGGAGAGCCGACAGTATATTGATCTGCTGTTCCATATTTGTATCTCATGCCACCTTTTGGGGTGCTGCCATTTTATAGACGTTTTTCAAGTACCAATCTTTTTAATTAGACACTTATTATACTCCTTGCCCTTATTCTGGTTCTCAGCAACCCCAGTACCTGCATTTAAACCATCTTCTTACCTAGATTCTTTATTAGTTCCTCTCTTACTTCCAGCCAGCAATTCAGAAGAGTCGGTCTGCCTAGGCTTTAGATGCCTGAAGAAACTCTTCCCTTGGTTCATACTTTTGGAATATATGCTTTTTTTCTCCAGTGTGGCAACCCGGTAGTTCAGCTAATATGTCCTCAGCCATTAGAATCTGGTCACTCGGTTCTTCGATCTCAGACTCCAGTTCGAATTTAGCCCTTTTGTAGTACTGTTATAGATCACTACTACCTCTAAACTTAGAACTTGCCAAATAGGTTTTTGGTTATTCTGATTTCCTGGATTTATTGTGCTGAAGCTTCCATTACTAAATAGTATGATTAAAGTTACAGATTAATCTAAGTCTAACCAATAAAAAGCTGTCAACTGTACACAGGCCTATTTTTCAAAATTGTTGCTAGTGAGATTTGAACTCTAGACTTGCTGCTTGAAGAAAGTGACGACTAAACCACTACACTAAGTTGCCACATCTCTTTATATTTTAATATATATATACTGTATATAATATTCATAATAAAAATCAATATAATGAATTTATATAATATTATTATAGTTTTATTAATTATATTAATTATAAATAGTTTTTTTAAATATTAATAATCATAGTATGCAAAATTTTTATTTTTTTTTTATTCTTTGACAGGTCTTGTTGTGACTCAAACTTTTAGTTTGTAGTATATATAAACTATGTACATAATTTCTAAGACTAAATAAAAGCCCAACTCTGCCTGGTTATCTAAAGATTATTTGGGTGCAACTTATCGTACTAGCTTACAGATAAGCTAGAAATAGACTCTTTTATGAGCTTGTCCAAAAGAGGTTTACACCCTTTTGTATCCAGTTCCCTATTACATCAAACTATACATTGTACTTCTCCTTATCCTTTACAAATATTTCAACCTCTTCTCTTTTAGATTTTCTTTTCGAATAGTTAGAGTATTTTCTTTAACTGTGCTTCTTTGGTCTTCTTAATTCTTTTATTCTTCTTCTTTATATTATAATTCTTTTCCTAATCAACAATCTTGATACATCTGTCTTTTCAAATAAAATTATAAAAGCTATTTCAAATTATGTACATAGCAAGTTCCGTAATATAGGATATTGTTTTTGATGAAATTCAAAGATTCAAGATTCTATTAAATAAGTCCATTGAGGTTAGACCTTTAATTCATAGTTTTCTATTTTCCTGCCTATTAATATTTGTCTTCTTTTAGACAAGAGATTTTTTGGGCATCTCTTTTTTTCTTCTTTCGTAAATTTGGACTATACCAGATCGAGAGTTGTAGTCTTAATACTTTGTTACATTAATTTATAGTAATCGCCGCATTCAGCTAGGTGATCTTAGGTCTCTACTATGCCAATGTTGCAAGCTTAATATTCACTATTTGTATAAATATCTAGTTTTTATATAGCCAATGTTTTGAGAACAGATAAACTTTCCAAGAGACACTTCAATTGTGTAGCTAGCTTCTTATTTTTCTTAAACATATTACATTTTGTACCTTTAAGCTTTTTTAATCTTTTCCAATATAAGAACCAATCCAATGTGGGCTTGTTTGAATTGGGTTCTAAGGTTAGAATTGAGCTCATTAGTCTCCAATTCGTGCTATTTCAGATTTTAAAAATCTTTTTAAAAAAAGGCCTGGTTGCTTTTTTGATTTTATATTCTCCCCAAAAAAGAGGGAAAGAAATTCTTGTATTAAGATCCAAATAAATGTTTGTTGAGTGTGTTAAAGAAGTAGCTTTTTTTGCAAGTATATCTGCTCTATCATTCCATTTGTTGTCACTATTTTCTTTAATTTTTTTAAGTTCAAGATTGATCTTTTTTGCTTTGATAAGATCTGCAATTTTGATTAAAATGTTCTAATTTTTTCCTTTAAAAATCTTATTAAATTTCCATTCACTTTTTGATCTTGTCTATATTGAAGATTGCTGCTGCACTATCTGAGTATATGCAAATATTACTATTTATTAGAATCGTAAAAAGGGCAAGCCAAATTACAATAAGCTTAAACTTTGTTGATGAAGGCCAATTTTCTACCTTTGCCATACTCTCCCATAGTAATAAAGATTCTACCAAATTTCAATTTTCCTACTGGTATATACCAGTAGTTGGTAGCTACTATTAGCTACCACTATCAGTAGTATAGCAAACTTTTATTCTAATTAGCTAATTTTTCTACCTATATATATATATTGCAAGCTGTAATCAACCAATCAGATTTAATAAACTATTAACCATCTACCTACTATCTACCACTTTATATCATTGATTTTATGGTAGCTACCAGTAGTTACCAGTAGTAGATAGCTACTAGTAGCTACCAACTCATATTACTACCCTCCTATAATGACCATTCTTGTTTCTCATCTACTTGTACTCAACCAATACCCATACTGCAATTATCTAATCCTTGCACTAATAAACTATCTGTGTATATCCAAAAACTATTTGTATTAAAACTATTATTTAAGTCTAAACTATTAGTTAAGCTACTATCTAACTCTATATTAAAATTTTAATCTGTTATTAATTGTTTATCTAAAGATTTCATGTATTGTATGCTAACAAACAAACTTTCTTCCTTACTTGGTTATATTATTTTTTGTCTATTCTTACTGCTGGTTAGAATATCTTCATATCTTAAAA